GAAACCGTGTGATAAAGACCCCCTATTTGAATGCCTTTCAGTCTTTCTTTTCAGGGTTCAGGGTCAGAAATGAGCAGTACGCTATCCATTGGAAATAACTCACTGAGAAAAGCCATAGTCTTGGCGGAAGCCACCCTTCCCTACACAGCGGGTTGCAGATCTCCCCTGCCTCCCCACTGCTGGACGTTCCGCCGTTAGGCTCAGCTCCGAGCCAGCTGCTGCAGCTCTCGGTGCCAGCCAGCTGTGCTCGCCCCCTCCCATGTCGCCTCCCGTGGCATTGCTGAACTTCCCCCAACATGCATTAGTAGCGATACTAATGTATAAATGACTATTTTCAGAGCTGTTTCAGAGAGGTTGAGTAAAGCATGGTAATTAGTTACTTAATGTGTCTCTTTACCCCCGCTTCATCTTTGCTATGCAAATAGCAAGGGGGAAATTCTAGTCCCAGTGAAGCAAAGTGGCAAAGCCCCGAGTGCTCTCACCCCCGCGAGCCGCATGACACTTGAAGGACAGGAACAGGAGGAGACTGACATTTTGCAAAGAAAAAGCAAAGCACACTGAAATGTTTAGCATTTTAAGTGGCACTAATTGGGAGATGAAAGCACTGCAGCAGCTGTGAGTGCAGCAAGAGCAGCAGGACATCCTCTTCTCCCCCATCCCTTCCCACCTGGACAAAAGGCAAGGAAGGAAGTGCTGTAGGAAGCTGCAGAGGACTTGAGAGACAAATAGTGACTAGGCTGAGACACAGAGGAATGGGGAAGAGGCAAAGGAGAAGGTGCTGGGAGGCACTGGTGGCTGTCAGGGTTCTGAGGGGCACGGTGTGGGCCCGAGGAGCCATGGGGAGAGCCTCCCCACGAGGTGCTGCTCGCTGCGTGGGCAGCGCTTCGCAGGGAAGCGGGGCAACGGGTTACTGAGCTTTTTCTCTTTCTGTGGGAAAAGGAGTGAAGGAAGGATGCATTGTGCTGTTAATTCCTGTGCTTGATATGACAGATAACTTGTGCTATGGTCCTTTTAAAGTCTGTTTGTAGCCTCGCTTTAGGCTGATAATACTGTCAAAGGCTAGTTTTTGTCCATGAGGCAGCACTGAGAAACCTTCCTGACAGCTTTTGGAAGGATGTGACTGTCTTCAGCTCCCCTGGAGTATCTGCTGCATGGGAAACCTTCCATTTTCCTACTGCATTGCCTTCGGATTTTTTGGAAGAAAGGGAAACAGTTTAAAACATTCTAATGGCTGCCTTGAGACTGAATTATGTGAGAGGCTCCATACTAGGCTACAGCTCATTTTGAAAAGTCTGCATCGTTCCCCCACAGATCTCAGCGCAGAACCTCAAAAAGAGAACTGGGAGGGCTCTAGAGCGTATTAAGATGTGATATATTTAAATAACTGTTCTGTCCTTCTGAGATGTTCCTTCCACCGTTATACTTTTATCTCTCTTATCTCCAGCTTTGATGTGTTTCAGCTGTGTTTCTCAGTGCTTTCTGACTGTATTATAAATAGCAAAGACACTAGTTTCTCTTGCGGGGTCGGGGGGTAGAGTAATGGAATCCAATTGGAAGCTGTAGGACTCACTTTGGTTTTCCCAGAAAAGTTTTTAAGATGAAAAAGCTAAAGCTGTAAGATGGCTGCTTTCCTCCCACCGCAGTTCTCGTGAAGGCAAATGACAAACTGGAATGTTCCGCGTGATGCTTTTTTGTGAAGGGTTTTGTGTGGTTGGGTTTTGGTTTGGGTTTTTTTTGTGAAGGGAGATGGCAACGATCAATAATAGAATTCTACAAAAAGCATAAGATGCCTGTTGAATTCCACCCTCTGAGAATTAACCTTGCCTACTGCCAAGTGTAGATGGGATTTGGCTTTTGTTTGCTCCGACTTGGTACTTGCATATTTGAGGTAAACCAGATGAAAATGGAAATGGCCAAGTGTAACGTGTTAATTGCCAAGTTTATTAAGTTACAAGGTGTAAAATTTTCAAAAGTATCTAAAGTAAGTTAGGTGCAGAAAAACTGGCCCATCTCTGCTGTTCTTGGACACGTTTGTTTTCCATCGTCGTCTAAGTAAAAGGTTTTATTAGACTTAAGGCTTCTGCTGATACCCAAGATAGGATAGGCAACACATAAATTAGTTTAATTTATCCTCTGTTAGTCATGTGAAATCCTGCCATGACCATGAATCTGCAGTGGTTTCGATTACTCTGCATGGGGATTGTACAAAGACTCCAAATACTGTTAGAAATACGAAGCTAGCCCACGGGGTATAGCATGTGTAGGAGCTTTCAAATTACATCCAGTTATTATCTCCACACTGCAAAAGTCTCTAAATTACTGTTTAAGTGACTTATGCAGCCCAGGTTTTAAGTTAGAAACTTATTTAATTTCAGCTCTTGACTTTATATCCGAGTAGAAACTATTTACAAATAGTTTCTTGATGTAGTTTCCTTACTCTGGCCACATTCTTCACTTATTCTGGTTCTCAGGACAAACTTTTTTTGAGTGTTGTAAAAAACTCCCCTGAGCCTCTGTGCATTTTGAGCTCTCACAGTACAGTTTTTTTCCTCTTTGTCGAACAGATCAGTTAGTCACCAAATAAGACTTTTAGACTCATGCAACATTATGCAAAACTCAAACTGGTTTAGCTTCCATTTTACTCTTGAAGTTCAAACAAGCTCATTAGTAGCTCTGATACAAGAATACTCACAAGAAAAAAAAAAATCTTCTCACTTTTTGTATTCAAAGTATGTATTTTAAAATTTGTAACCTGTGTTCAGTAGCTCTTCAGTAACTGAGTCAGGTGGTTAGATACAGATAAGCTTGTAAGCTGCCTTTGAAACACAAAACAATCCTCAACCATATCTCAAACCGAGCTTGTACATCTCATCACGAGGCCCAGGCTGTTTTATCTTCACTTTATCTAGCACCGGTTGCATTCTGGCTTTAGAGAGCATGGTGTGTGTTTCTTCTTCAGAAATAATACCTAAAACCTACCAGCACATCAGTAGTACCAGGTAAAGGCCAAACCTCTGTTTACTTAGAGGATCACTAGACAAACCCATAGCCTTGCATCTCTTTATTGAAAGCCAGACATTTTGCACTGGGTAAAATAGAGGTAAAACGGAGAAAAAAGTAGTGTTTCTTAACTAGAAGTTTCTTAATATTTCTTAACTAGAAGTATTGAGTTAACTAACCTCCGAGGTGAAATCAGCCTCGTTTTATTTATTCATTTTGCATTTGGGACCTGTATTTACAATATTTCCTTAAGTGCCAGACGGCTACCATGATCCCATGTGAAACCGTTTTAGGTTCCAAGGTTGCAGTTTTGCTCTTTTTTCTTTTCCGAGCGCCTCATTCCTCTAAAAAATTACCCGGCTCCATCTGTATGATGTTCTTTTCTAATGCACTGCTTTCCTAGTAGTGCATCCTTAGTTTTGTGTTCCACGGGCGTTTTACGAAATACTGCTTACTGGGTGTAAAACGGTGGATCTGATGATTTTTGGATGCCCACACGACTTTGCTGCATGACACACTCTCCATGGAGCGTCTTTTCACTCCACGGAGAGCGTGTCGTTAATTAAAGTCTCAAAGGTGCGCATAAGCACCGTGTCGGGGGGTGGATGGCAGTGCTTTGTACACGGCAGCGCCGGTGGAAGCCACAGTTTCGGCGCCGGCCCGATGTCGGTTTCACGGGACTCCTCTGCGGAGCATGTTTCCTCCCTGGAGCGGATGTAAAGGCCGGGCACTGTGCAAGCGCCGGGAGTACCGGCGGAGCGCCGCCGTGAGTGCCAGGGGCCGCTGCCCGCCGTAACAAACTTTTTTTAAAACTGCAAACCACAAGTCATAATTTAAATCTGCCGTTAGTTTTGCGGAAGCTGGAAACGTGGTGTTGGAAATACTTATTTGAGTCAGGGTTTAGGGGAGGAAAATGTGCTGGTGGTGATTTTTTTTTTTTTTTCCTGCAA